TTGAAAACAATTTGAACAAACAAATAAATGCAATATTCAGTAGCTTCCTTAAGTGACATTTATTAATTAGAGAATAAATAAATTAATTTTATATTTAAGTAAATATTATCCATATATACCTATTCTTGAAGACTTATTTTAAGATAAATTTAGTGTTCCAGTCATCTAAAATCGAATTTGAATTTAGTTTTGTTATCCAATCATTTTACTGTATTTCTTAAAATCTGGATTTTATTTAGGTTAAGTTTTGGAGAATACGGCCTAAATTTAAATATTTAGTAGAATATATCTATATCTATATCTATATTACGGTCATTTTGTGGAACCATTCTTTCCTTACGCCATATTGCAGTTCTCAGTTCTTTACAATGCCTTCTATAACATGTTTTTCCAACGTATTATCAAGGAAACCATTTTTCAGTAAAATTCCGTGATTACTGAAGGAGTGATTAATGAACTGCCAAACTGACATGTTTCCATTTCCTGAACCCGAGGTCAAATATAACACCTTGTGGTAGCAGATTAACACCTATAACACCGTCGTTAACACCTTGCCGTGTTTTAACACTGACACTCGTCAGTTGTAAGAGAATAGGTTAGAATTATCACAGTTTAAGCGACAAATCGCTTGTCAAACTTGTTTAATGATATCACTTCATGTAGTTGAAATGATGGTTGAGAGGATGGTGTACTTTTCTTCTTTCGAAAGTTGGAAATGATAAATGAAATGAGTGGAATTTTACGTCTTACTTTTCTGCACCTGATTAAGCTCTTGAAGGACAACGACACGTGGTGTACAATGAAGGAATTTTTGTGAGAAAAGTAGCACAAACATACTCGTTTTCCAGTGGTAGGGGGATCATGTATGCTTTCGAAGGTTAGAGATATTGTCGATTAGAATCACTTCAATTTCAACCATAAAACAGGGAGTCAAAGTAGCACAATAGATAACAAATCTTTGTATCTTTCAAATAACAACATTCAACGTTATAATAACAGTACAGATACTTTAAATATACATTACTTAGTGATAATAATGACGTCATAAAATCTTTCTCATTCAATTTGAAATACGTCATTATGTAAATGACGTAGATATAATAAATCACGTGATTAATACGTATTATTATTGAGTTAATGAATGAATAAAACACAACACGTGGTATATTAGTCTATTCATTGTTTACATCTTAGTTCATTGGATACAAACTGTTACCTGTATCTACATTGTTCCATTTACCTGGCGGCTTCCTTTGATCTTACTGGTATACTGTTACCACTAAGCAATATTCACTTTGATCTCACCGCCAACCTGATGCTCGGATCAAGGGTAAAATGTTATCGATGACGGATGAAGACAAACGAGTTAAAGACAAGATTAAGATCACGGGGTTAGGGTTAACATCGTTATTCATCGTTTCATTAAGGGTTAATTGAAATCCACGTTTCACACACTGTTGTCAAAGTAGCTAATTGTTATGCACAATCAAAATAAATTATCTGCAAGTCTTTGGCTATATCTGTGCATCAACTGCATGTAGTAAATTAAAATTATATTTTACATGAAACGAAGTATTCTTCCTACATTTTTTACACTTGAAGCACAACGCCTAGAATCTTTCATCTGCAACCCTCTTGCAATATCTGTATATCTAAACGTTCATCAAAGACATACGGTAAATTTGAATTATATTCGACATGAAATGAAGTTTTACGTCCTACTTTTTTGCACTAGATTAATTTGTCGAATCAAGAAGGGAAACTTCATGCAGATACTTTCAATTGTAACTCTTGGGCAATATCAATGTATCTATAGCAAATTATACATTAAAATAGATATTAATTGAAATGTTACGACTTACATTAAAGAAATGCCTGGTTCTAGTCAAGAACGCTTGAGGCCTTCTGAAAAAACTTGATGCTTTTCTGTTCAGAGCATTTCAACTGGAATCTCTGTCACGTGGTTTTATATAATAGATATATAACCTTGATTTATATAATAAATATATGACATTGGTTTATATAATATGTATATATAACCTCGATTATTGTCTTATCAGGATCGCAAGACGCTTATATAGTTTCGTGAAAAGTAAATTAAGGAAGTTCAACTGACAAAAGGATGGACAGTTTGGGTTTGTTGCTAATATTCACAGTCTTATGTCCTGTTATAACAGTTTTTCAGAGTTAGGATATACATGTGCAGATTTATAGATTTCTGCTAAAGTGATACTGCGTCTTAGAATTAACATAAAATTTAAGAATTTTAAACTTGGCGAATAAGAGCCAGTAGATATACCTGGTGTCATAAATAACATAACAGGATCCTTATATAATCCAATAAATCTAAAAAACTTAGTAATTATCCATAAATATGCAATTAACTATTGAAAAACGCCTAATATCAAGATTAAGCATTTTTCAATAATTACTTATTTTTATGAATTTTCCAGATTTTACAGGGATTCTGTTGTAACTTTGTGACACCAGGTAAGCTAACTGATGAATATAGACTGATATTGACCTTTCCGAGAACTTAAATTTTATGTTCATTCTGAGACGTAGTATCACTTTAACATTTTATATAACAAAAACCAAAAGAAATACTCGATCAAAACAGTACCCGAAATAAATATCAAAGTTTGGCAATACATTGGTAGCAGTTAATGAACTCTTCATATGAGAATTCATTCCTAATTCTTTTTCATTTAAGTCAATAGCAACCGTAAGGATTGTTTTATGAACGTTATTTGTCTATAACATTTTTATAAAAATTTGTAAAATTTAATATTAAAAACTTGATGGGGTTTCTTCCTTGGGTGGCATTTAATAACTGGGGTATGAATAACTGGACCCAATTATATAGATAACAATTACTTTATTAAATAACTTGCGACGTTTCGACGATGACGCTTTCGTCTTTTCATTGCTTGAAAGTAGTTGTTATCCATGTAATTGTGTCCAGTTATTGATGGGGTTTATATTTGAAGAGTTAGATATTTTTTGTACAATTATAGTTGTTCGTCTTCCTCAAGGAATAAAACGCTTCAAAGCAAAGTGCCATCAAAATTTCCTGAAGAAATAAGATGACTTCAACACCTATAATTTACATGAAAATCATCCAATTTGATGCAAACATAAAATGGGCCATTATAGTGTAAAATGGCCAGTTTAAAACGAATATTGAGCCTCTTTATTACTGTTATAGAGATATCAGTAAACTGTGGTTTATTGGATAATGTGATGATGAGGGGTATTATACTAAAAGGATGAAATCTCAAAGCAGCTTTTTATACCATAATTACTAGTTTAACCTAAAACGAAACAGTTTAGAATTTAGATTGAATTGAATAATTATAGTGTATGTATCGCGATCTGCTCGTTTTCTTCCTAGGGGGCGTATTAAACAAATTATTTGGGTAACGTAAAAAGGTAAACGAAAATAAAAAGTAAACGAAACTATTGGAGGGTAATTTGTTCTGGCGAAAATTGAAAGTAATCTTAAATTAAAGCCATTTCTCTCATGGAGAATAACCAAAATTGCATGTCTTCTTTTCAGCAAACTCCACAATATTAGACTGAAGATGATGAAAATGGTCAAAATTTCAACGAAACTTTATTTTATATTTATCCAAACATTCAGACTTTTCTTAGCTTTGTCAAAGATTTCACTAATAGGCCTACATGTAGTTCAGAAATATATATAATATGTATTATAATATATAACGACTATAGAACATTCCTTTGACAATAATTGTGGGACGGATCGGCGAAAAAATATTTTGATTTCAGTAAAGGGCTATGCTCAGTGCAGGTTTCATTTTTTTCAATAGTAGGACTATAATCAATATTCAAGAGATCAAACCTAAAAAAATTGAAATTTGTTGATAGAGGTGTTCGAATGCATGCACGTCTTGTTATTAACAAAATAAACAGACCCAAATAAAAAACGAAATAAAACTTGGCAAATCTTGACAAATCATTAAAAACATTTTAACAGTTGAAAATTTAAGAGTTGACATCTGAAGAACAATTGGTGAGATATATAAATGATTTCATTTTAAAATAAAAAACAAAACTGGGGCGGAAAACAGCACTTGAGCCAGTAATGTTGACAATTTTGTTTCATTGTTTACATTTCGATTAATTTGTTTACAATGGCTTTTAATTGTTTGTCAACAAATAACCGAACAAAAGACATTACAAATAAACATTTAAAAAATATTTGGAAAAAAGTGTCAACACGTTTATGAGATCATCGAAAGGGCATAAAGTTGTCACTTGTGTAAGAACTGTAGTAACCCTTTAGAGAACGCTACCACGAGAGTAGAGGATGACGACCACAAAACTTTGATGGCCTTTTAATGGATTTTTAAAGCAGATGAGTTGAACAGCGCGCTCTAAAATAACATTTTTGTTGCCTGGTCTGAATTGTATACAGGATTGTTTCTCTTTTTGTGTTTTTATTAAGTCATTACTTGTATTCCATCTTTTGACAAAAACCTATCGACCTCATCGTCCTCTCATAAAGAAGGGCGGATTAACCATTGTCCAGCAATTGTAAATGCTGGATTTAAAGAAATAAAGAAACGAACATCATCAAGATTTGTCTCCTATTTTGCTATTTTTCACACTTTCTAACAATTGATTTTTCGTTTCGTTTTGTCAATCGTCCGCACGTGTCTCGATGCCTGTCTTACGTTATTCACGATTACGCAAGAATCGCTGCACCATGGAAAAACTGCTGCATACAGACCGTCCATCTCAATGACAGGGTTTTGTTCAAATAAACAAAAGATTAAATCCATGGAACGAAAGAATAGAGAATAAAAATACGTCAAGTTAGTTTTTTGATTAATTGATTGGTGAATTAACAAATGAACAAACTATCATTTCGGGTAGAATTAGTTTTCTACGCTTATTTGAACAATGCTGAGTGATGTAGTGAATGAACAATACTGGTTCATGAATAACAAGCTCCGCCTTGCACCAGTTGATTGACAGATCGATAATTGCATGACTACGATATGAAGGCGTGGACGAATAAAATGGTTTATTTTGACACCGAATATGATTATAGTCTCATTTTTCACGAGTTTGTGGAATCATGGTGTATGTTTTTCAAGAGAAATCGAGATGACTTTATTACTGTAAATCTTGGAACCGTTTTCTCTCTTGTTTATTCGCTCTGGAAATTTAGTAATCAGTTTTTGTACGAATCTTTGGCATTTATTTAAACAAATTGACATTTATCAGCGACTTGCTTCAAATTTGAGACAGAAAATGTCAAATTAAACTTTTAAAAAATACAATATTTACTTACGTTGAAAGTGAAAGCGTCTGGAAGTGGAAAAGACAGAGAATTGTGATTTGAGTGTCTGGAAATATTTTTGGAAGCGTTCAACCAACCACTTACCTGCTTCAGAAGATTTTGAAAATTGTTTTAATGAATTAACGAAAGTGTGATATTTTGTCAAAGAAGAATTATTAATTTTTTGACAATATTCGGAAACAAACAGCTGTGTAGTAGTGACAGAAAATATTGGCATCTGCAGTGATTTGTGGAATCTTTGGAAATAATTTAAGATATCAGGATGCCTCGTCCAGGAAGGAACACTTACGATGAACAGAAACCGCCGTATTCTTACATCGCCCTGACAGCAATGGCCATACAAGCTTCTGGAGAAAAAATGTTACCACTGAGCGACATTTATAAATTTATTATGGATAATTTCCCGTTTTACAGAAAAAATACTCAAAGATGGCAGAATTCGTTACGACATAACTTATCGTTTAATGATTGTTTTATCAAAATTCCCCGCCGTCCGGACCGACCAGGAAAAGGGAGCTACTGGGCTTTACATCCCATGTGCGGAGACATGTTTGAAAACGGAAGCTTTTTACGGAGAAGAAAAAGATTTAAAACGAAAATGAGGAGTTTATCAGCGTCGATGGAGAGTTTAAAATCAGAACTGAGTTCTGCTGCTTTTATACAAGAGCAGGCGAGAATCCGGCTTCAGATGTCCCAAGATTCAGCCCGGTTCCAGCCCTACAGTATGACGAGCTATCCAACCCCGGCAAAACAACCCTTTACCATCGAGAATATTATATCACCTCAATATAAATCTACGTCAATTATACCACAGACAATATTGCCCGCGCACCTGCCAGGTTTTACATCTCAGTTTCCACCCGGATTAGCTAATCCCGGATTAATCTCGGCTTACAGTGCTGGCGAACTTTCTTCATCTCTTGCGTCAACGTTCTCATCATTATCATCAAATCTAGCCTCGCGATTCGGGGGTTTGGGCAATTTACCTAGTGACTATTCCTTTCTGAAACACCCCAACCCCGAATCCTTACCCCTAGGGTTCCGGGTACCCATTAAACCTGCCCCTATCAGTGCTCTGACATATTCCCGACCCGGGGCGTTATTAGGATCCACTGGTCTAGCTCTACCTCTCCCTAAAATATCTTCACCCGAGTCAGTAGTCCCGAGTGCTGCCCCACCCCTCCCGGCACCAACAACAGCTCCTACCTTGACCGTAAGTTGATTTTAAAGACAGTTTTAGAAGACTCTAGATTATTTTTAAATTATATAAAGTGTTGAACAGTGCAAAACAACAATTTATGTGTTTTATTTGAAAAAATCGGATTTTGAAAATGTGAACGTATATTTTCATGATATTTTTGTGATTTAAATTTTCAAAATATTGCTATGGCAACAAGGTAAGATGTTCTCTAATTTCAAGTCTTTTAGAGAAAATATCTGATTTGTTTATGTTTTTATTTGTCATTGTTTAAATTAATGGAAAATTGTTATTTTGAATTTGCTTCTTGTGAACATTAAATATACCTATATAAAACAACTTTTATTTTTTCGTCTTAATATGGGAGTCTTCTCGGATATTTGTTTATTTGTTTACTAATTGGAAGGGGAGTTTTCTAAATTACATCTTATAAATCATCATTTGTTGATTTGTTCCAAATATTTAAATATGTTGAACATTTAACCTTTGGGAATAACATTTTACAAATTACAATTGTTCATCTAAATTATAACAAATTTGCTAATTAATGGAATTAATGAAATTGTGAATTATCAAATACCTACGATTCTATATTCCAAGAGACCTAACGAGCTTCGAAAAATTCAATTTTGAACTTTTTCAAAATAATGATTCTATTCGGACAATCAAAAAAGATTGCGTATCATGTAATTTGTACAGTTATCAATAAGTAAAAACAATTATGGTTACAACGGTATTTTTTAGACAAAGTGAACATTGGACCTGCATTATCATTTGTATCAATTTTCACATTTTTGCTTTTTTATAAATTAATCTACATTTTAATCAGATAATTTATGCATGAAAATGAAAATACCCAAAAATATATAATACATTATTCTTACAAAGATAAAAAAAAAGAATAGAATTATATTATATTGTTATAGAATGTTCTATCATTTTTTTTAAAAATATTTTGGGGAAATCTGTCATCAAATTATGATTTTGATGGCTTCTTTTTGGCAAATATACTGTAGGACCATATCTTTAAAGGCAATATTTGTCAAAGTATATTAACCCAGTTCCAACATATTATTTTCATCACACGACTCTATAAAGAAATATAAAGAAGAATAGAGAATTATTTTTCAGTTCTTTATAAAGGTTTGATTCTGCCCCTCCACTAACAAAACTGGCCTTGAACACCACAAATAACTTCAATTCTCTTTTTAAAAAGAAGCATTTTTAAAACTATTTAAAAATATTCTTTTTCTTTAAGATAAACGTCGTAAACATATATTTTCAAATAATGTTAAGGGCTACACCATTTTACAAAACTATATGAATTTTATAAGGATTCTTTTATCATTTTTCAACTCATAAATTTGATTTAATTTTCTGGTCGTTGAATTTCTTAATTCAATAATTAATAGAGTATATATTACAACATAAATATACCATAAAAGGGGTGTTTAAGTGTACAAATTTCTTAACTTGAAGTCAAAATTTAAAAAAAAACATATTTGGTCAATTAATGATATACCGTAAATGTAAAAAAAAAATCCATAAAATAATTTGAAGTGTATCTTGATTTTTTAAGTTTTTATAAAAATCTTGACTATGTGACATTTCTATTCAAATTTCGTTTTGTTTAAAGAACGTCAGTCCCGATATTTCAATTACAATTTTTCTATCTTCAATGGAAATTTTGATAATATGAAACAGATAGCTGGACAATCTAGAACTAGAAGGTGACCTTGAAAGAGATGAACAACAGTAAAAACAGTTACCACCAATTTTTTGGTTTTGATCTATTCTTTTAGTTTTACCTAGATGCAGCTAACTACCTGTGATACACTTAGAAAGAGCACGGCCAACATCCGATTCATAATAAGATATTACACCCACCCCACCTTAAAAAGGAAAACAGGAAAAGAAAAAAAAAGTTGAAATCGTGCCTCCAAAAACATACTAAGGACTTTTCCCTTTTTCTGTTCAATATTTTGTGTTTTTAATCAAAGAATTTTATCTTAAACATTTTTTTTTCTGTTCTTTTTGTATAGTTTATGTACTCGTTGATATTACAAAATGTTTACATGTATGTCCCTAGATATACAAGTATTATTCAACGCCTTTTTAAAATTCCCCAAGCGTCTTCGGCTGCTACAAGTATCGACAACTATTGTCAAAAGTGATATAAAGTTTCAAAATTTTCATCAATAATTGAATGATTTTAAAATGAAACAATACAAGGGATGATATCAGATACTAGGAATTCTGTGAAAGTGAAAATATGATGAATTTTTGATAATTAAAAACTGAGAAATATAAAAGAAAAAGCAACAACTTGTATGAGATGATAAAATAATAATGAGTAGTTTGAACAGGTAACAAAAGACTATTGTTGCAAAGTTACAGAAGTCGATATTTCCTTTAAAAAACCCAAGTCTGTTGTATTTATTGATATAGGCCAGTGCTTTTAAAGGGAATATTTAGATGGCTGGGGATGTGATAAAAGTTGTCTCGCTGTCGAAAGCACTAGCCATGGCATCAGAAGGTTTAAGCAGGTAGCAACGGACTATTATATATTCTTTATATTTCTTTTATAAACCCGTGTCTGTTGCCTACATTGATATAAGCCAGTGCTTCTAAGGAATATACAGATGACTTTGGATGAGATGTGGCTGTCGAAAGCACCGATCGTGGATTCAGAAGGTTTAAGAGTTAACAAAAGACTTTTGTCATTGAGTTACAACAGACGATATTTCTTGTAAACGCCAAGTCTGTTGCCTAAATTGATATAAGCCAGAGCTTCGGGGATGTGTTAAAACTCGTCTGGCTGTCGAAGGCACTGACTGTGGTAGAAAGTGTTAAAGGTAACAATAGAGGACTGTTTCAGAGTTACAGAAGTCAATTTCTTTTAAAATCCAAGTCTCTTGTCCTCTAGGCTGCCGAAAGCACTGGCTATACATCAGAAGGTTTAAGAAAAGCACCGACCGTAACAAAATATATAACAGGTTGCAATAGCTATCAATAGAGTGACAACAGTCGACATTTCTTTAAAAACCTCGATCTTTTGTCTTCATTGATATAGACCAGTGCTTGTAATGGAATATATAGATGGCTGGGAAACAGAAGTCTTATAAATGGTAGAGTATTTTACAGGTAATATTAGACTATTGTTAGCTAACTCTTCTAGACATCTTATACCACTTTCATTATGAAATCTCACTCACTTAAGATTGATATACTTCCTCATGTGAAACGTTATTTAGCTGCTACCAATATTTCGTCAATATGTTGTTTTGGATTTCGGGTTTTGTTTTGCGGTTCGGATCGTTCGTACTCGGCTTATTTATGAAACAACTATATTGCTAGGGTTTGCTTTTGACCGACTCTCGAAAAACGATAATGAAGTCTTCCCTCTTTTGATTAATAGGGCATTTTAAGGATAAGTACGTTTGGGATATATTGCATATAATATGTTAAAGATGAGTTTCCTTATTTTTTAGAGTCAAATTAAGCAAACTATTTGATTGATTGGTGTTTCTAATGAATTATCATGTATTCTTAATCATATTATTATGTTTTTATTGCATATTAAGAGTTTTAACCAATCATAAATGTCCGTATGTACAGTCTGGATCTGTCACTCATTGGAATTCTGCTGGTATTTCTCTTCTAATCTAGCTAATTATGAATTACTTATGGACATATATGAGACAAGCTAGTATTTTTTCAAGTCATTAGAACACCACTACTTTCTATTCATATAAGTAATAGCATTTCCATTTTTATAAATGAAAATAAGGAAACCCATCTTTAATAAAAATGCAAGTGGGAAATGAAATTGAATTGGGATTTTACCTCCCACTTTTCAATACCTTACTAAGTTTATAAAATGAAATGGAGCTTTATATATTGTTATTCTGTGGAAATGTAGATGAGTTGTTGTTTTAAACCTTGCTTTGAACTCGGGGCTAAAAAAGAACTGAATTTACATATTTAGAACTGATTCCAGACACATTTATTCAGAAGATGATAATTATACAAAAATATTGGTTATCGTTTTTCATTCATCCATTGTCATAACAAAAATGAAATGTGGGTCACACTCCACAAATTTATTGAATCAATTATATATTTTAATTTCTCTCTTCAATATTTTAAATATTGTTCATACATATTCTAATTTCTTTATTCTAAAATCTAATTTGTTCTCAAACTATAAGGGTCACATGTACGATAGGTCTATCTACATAAAATGGTCATAATTTATGCAAAATATATTAAAAACGTGTAAGAAAATGTTACTATGTTTTGATTCGGATCAGTGACTGATATAGTGGTCACGTTTTGTTCTGTAGATAATCAGGAAGGAAGATAGGTCTACAATTCACTGGAATTTTTCATTG